GCAAAACAAAGAGACAACAGACCGTCAGCGAACAAGCCACGAGGCAAAGAGTGTATTTTTTTTTTTTATTCACTTTTGAGTTATTTTAGGGCAACAGCAATAAGCTTACCGTCTGTTGGCGGAAGAAATGAAGCGCAACAACGCTGTTGTTGCAATTTTCGCTTTAATTGCGCTGAATGCAATTCTCAAGGTATATGCTTTTTAGTTTGATTTTCTTTATTTTGGTTTTATTTCAAAATTACGGTGTTGGTACAAAATGGTAGCATAACGGTATTCTTCATATTAGGTACATTCTGAGTTTCCAATTTAATAAGGTGAAATGGAAAGGTAATTATTACTTATTTTTATTTATAATTTGCGTACAAATGGTAAGATTATAATCATGAGTTGCATTCGATCTTCGACTGTGACCGAAAGAACTGAACGAACGATTTTTTTTTTTTTTTTGTATTTTAAGGTTTGATGAATTTCAATAAACTCAACTGTTCGCAAAGAAAATTTTTCGCCAGCTTTGTTTCAATATAAAGTATAAACCAAGACGCTATGGTAACGATAAATTTCAAGTTATTATTATTATTATTATTATTAATTATAATTGAAAATTTTAATAAATTGGAAACAGCTAGGGCTATCGGTTAATTTCAAGTTTATCGAAAACTTTCAAGCGTTTTGGTTGAAACATTTGGAAATATTAAGGTTAAAGCAGTTATTCGTTTTTACCCGAAACGATATGCTGTCGTTAGTAGGGAATGTTAAATCGTTAGCAGAGAATGTCGAATCGTTAACAGTTAATGTTAAACGTTAAAATTGAAGTGTGCTGTTAAGCTCAAAGTAAGCAGCCATTTTAAAATTAACATTAACGATGAGTTTGTGTGGTTTCAAAGTAAACGATTTCAATTGGTTTTGATAACATGGCGCCAAAACGTTTCATTTCGTTGAGTTAAATTTTCTTGTAAGCGAAACGAAATAACATCGTTGCGTTTGTTGAGCATCTCAGGTTTTCATGTAACAGCGAAAAAGAATTTGAAGATTTTGGTAAGAAAGGTTGTGTTTTTGGAAATGTGGTTTATGAAAAGGAATAAAACTGCTATAATTCAATGTTATGGTCAAAAGATTTGCTTTATTAGATCAGTTGTACAACTCTGCTTCCGCCGTTTTCCGATAGGTAGCTGTACCGGCTGAGGCTGGTTGAAATACATAGATGATAATGCCTTGAAAATGAGTGTGGACAGTACCTAACGAATTGTCACCGCCGTTTCAGTGACAGTTGTTCTTGTTTTCGTATTATTCACGCTCGAAAATGACCGTTTTCTGTGCCTAATTCTCGCCATTTGCGGGAAGTTTTACTTTTCTGTTACAATTCGAAAAAAAATGCAGCTGAAGTGCATCGAATGCTCTCAGAAACTTACTGTGATGCTGCTCTGAGTGAAAGAACGTGTCGGGAGTGGTTTCAACGTTTTAAAAATGGTTATTTCGATGGCGAAGACAAACATGGTAGTGGAAGAGCAAAAACCTTCAAAGATGAACAACTAGAAGCATTGCTTGTGAAATCATCACAGGAGACCGCTACCGAACGCAACTGATGCGCCTTAGTCGCGCGCTAAAAGATAAGCGGCCACGGTATCAAGAGCGACATGGCAAAGTCATCCTCCAACGCGACAATGCTCGGCCTCACGTCGCAAAAGTGGTCAAAAAGTACCTGGAAACGCGGAAATGGGAAGTCTTACCCCACCCGCCGTATTCCCCAGATGTCGCCCCTTCTGACCCATCTCCACAACCTATTCCGTTCGATGGCCTGGTCGATCAACATTTTCAATCCTTCGAAGAACTGGAAAAATGGATTGCTTCATGGATAGCGTCAAAAGAGGACTCCTTTTTTCTAGCCTGGATCCAAAACTTGCCGGAAATATGGGAGAAAGTTGTCGCTAGCGAAAGACAATACTTTGAATAATATATCTGTAAGCACTTTTTGGCAATAAAGCTTTTAATTTTGGAAAAAAAAAAACGGCGGAAGCAAAGTTGTACACCTAATAAGTTAAGATTTTGTCATGATGTTTAAAAAAGAATTTTGGCCAAGTGACTGGATCGAAATAATTCTACTCCAGATACCCAATTTTCGTTCATTTTTTGCAGTAATTGAGCTCTTCTTCTTTTTAGATGAAATATACTCACAAAGCATACCAAAAAGTGACGTTTTAGGGTTGTAATGGCGTCTCAGCAACGGCTTGGGGGTTATCTCACACCAAATGGTACAGTTTTGATAATTAAAGTACTCATTCAACCAAAAGTGCGCGTCATTCCTAGACAAAGTTTAAGCCGCCTCCAAACGGGTGGTGTTTTTTCTTATGAGGAGCTATTGCCTCATTGAAAACCAAACGTTTTTTTGGGTACTCACACCTCAATTTCGATGAAAAAGTAGAGGATGAAGTGATTTTCGGCCGAGCACCTTCTCCTATATATGAAGTAACCTACAGTTTATTCTAAACCAACAGCGTCTTGTTCTCGTTCACTTTCAGACTCATTCCATTATTGTGGATAATATCCTAGCTTTTATATGGCACTAAAAAACCTTTGTATGGAAATCAAGAGCAATGCTCGGCAGTAATTTAACCAGCTTTGGTTGGATATGATCGTAAGATTTTTTTCCAACCGGAACCAGTTTTTTTTTTGATCCGAGCGCAGGTATTCTGCAAGAAATGTGGAAAACATGTTTTTTTTGTTGCTGTTGTAGCGATTCGCCAATCGTTATCGAAGTCATTTAATGTGGTTTCCAGAAAAACGTGTTGTTTCGATGAGCTCTGACCAGAAGGTAGGCGGTTAAGAGGAGTTGTTTTAGAGAGCATGCCTAGAGTTGATAAAGTCGTACGGGACATAAGTTGGGTATTTCTGGGCCAAGTCTGGATAAGGAGAAACGAATTCGACTACAATATTCAGATTTTAATTGTGACAGTAATACTTAAGTTTCGCGACGCAGCTCCACTCTTCATCGACACTTGGACTGTGATTTAATTTCGAGAAGCCCGTTCACTGGAAGGGAGTTTACCCCTGCGGTTAAGGGACTCAAGAATTTACCCGTGGTAAGGTATGCCTGTCGTAAGAGGCGACTAAAATCCAATAGTTCCCGCGACAGGCGGGTCTTTATACCGGAACGACCTGGACATTCCCGCAACATTCCCCGAAAACCAATTCGGGGAATAATTTGCAGTTACAATAACAACAACAACAATTTTGTATATTTGCAAAGGCAAAAAGCGTTCGAAAGTTCAAAGAACGCTATATATAAGTAGACTTAAATATTACTACCTCTTTTAGGAGCTTTTTCAAGGTTACAGCAAGATCTAACTAAGCTTGAAAAGAATTTTTCAAAATATCACACATATTATATATATTATATATGAGATACATGAAAAACAAAAAATTTAACTATAAGTCACCTTTTCCTCTCTGTAGCCCATCGACGCTTCAGCAATTGAGATGAATTTTAAAGCGGCGAAATTGCAAAACGAGACACCAACACCAACATGGTCAGCTATACGCATCAAACGCGAGCACGTGGGAAATGCACAAAGTTTCATTGATCTCATATTGAAAATAATGAATTCACTGCCAAGTAGTAAAATCAGAGGCAGTCAAGGTTTACTTCCTTGATGTCGATGCAAGGGGTGCGGAAGAAAAAGAGTAGTTGATAAATAATAAACCATTTTTTTTTCTTATTTACGTGCTAAGACGTTTATTTTTATTTTTTAATTTTTATTTTATTTTATTTTATTTTATTTTTTTTTTTTTAGTTTTTTTTAGTTTTTTTTTTTTAATTTATGTATGTATATTTTTTAATAATATATTACAAAATATTAAAAACTATTATTAATAAAACTACAACTAACATAATTTGTGATGATATATTATGTACGTGTGTGTTTGTTTCGTTTAGCTGTAATTAATAATGACGAAAGAAGAATATTTAAGAAGTTTTTTTTTTAAATTTCTTTTTTTTTTTTTGATAGAACAAAGAGTTTGAAATTTGCCAAAAAAAAGAAAAGTAGTTAATTAAGTGATGTAAAAATTGGCGACAAAGAAGTCAAAAAAAATATACTTCGCACACAAACCGAGTTTGCAATACTGTATAGCCAAACAAATATTTAAATAAATGTTTCCTTATAAGCTTAAAAACTATTCGATTCGATTCTATTTACTTTTATATGCGTAGGGGTGAGTATCTTTAGAGAGCTTGCAAAAAGAAAAACTATTTAAAGTTTAAGTGAAATTGTTTGATCTTTATCAGCAGCAATTCGTATTAATACTATTAAAGAGTTAAATTTAAAAAAAAAAAACAAAAAACATGTCTTGTTTTTTCTTACGATTTGGAAATGTGCGATAGTTTTTAGTATAATAAATTAGTTATTGTATATTTGATAGGTATGTGTGCGTGTTACATAATATATATGAATATATATACATATATATGTATGAACGTATATTTAATACATATGTATAAATGCGCATGTATATTAATTAACATCGAGGAAAAATATTTAAATATTTACGAATTTATCTAGTGTTAAATAGATAATGCCACTACATTATTATTATAAACGGAAATAGTTATGTAAGGAAAAGTGAACGAATAAAAATGCATTGCAATCGCCTTTACAGTGACATTATATTCGGCAGAACTTTGTTCTATTAAAAATATTTGCAATAACGAAAATATTAATATCTAAATATATTTAATACTAAAGTAGAATTAATATTTAATTAAATTAATGTTGTTGTTGTTTTTTTTTTTTACAGCTGGGGCATGTCCTCATTAACAGCAAACTCTTAGACTTTGAAATTTTTAAATATTGTTTTAAGTTTCATAAAGCCATAACTTCACAATACGAACACAATCCATCGTTTAAACCGATCCATTTGCCGTTTTTTTTTTTTTAATTTTCCTCGGCCTACACACGATTGCTGAATGTAGCTCTGCTTTCCGCTACCAGCAACTGAATTTTAACAATTTTTCTCGGCCACCAAACACATTTTACAATCAAGACACTCAAGGTAATATCAAGCAAAAGGCCGAGCGGTCAGATACGAATTTAGTAGCAGTTTCGAAAATATTACCTGTAGTTTATAAAAAAAAAAAAAATTATGCTCTTATTTGTTGTCACGCGTGCGACTATTCGCCGAGCTAGGATTCAAATTTGGTGTACTGTTGTTACTTGGAGTTGTGGAGCTAACAGCTGTTGGACCGTTCAATTGTGGCGCGGATGTAGGTAACGGCAGCAAAGCGTTTGGAGGCGGTTGTGACCAGAAAACCTGAATTTATTATAAAAAAAAAAATTTTAATTTCTCAAGTCAACATTAAGATGTCATTTATATTTACGAACCTGTGTTCCTTGAGGCCCATTAACGGCATTAACATTACCAGTTGTAGCGTTTGCCTGGAGTGGCTGTTGCATCGTAGCAATCCCATTTATAGTCATACCAGCTGGAGAGGGGCCAGCCATTACCGGACCGGGTGCATAATAAAAAGGCATATGTCCTGGTGATGGTGCAGTACCAGGATAGGATATGCATTGAAATTGTAAACCATCGCCACCAACACTGCCATGCATTACAGGAGGTACTCCAGTCGCCTCAGTGTTCGCGAGATCCGCCGTTGGTGGTATATAAAAACCGTTTGACGGTGGTGGTGGTGGCAATGACATATTCATCGCTGCAACTGCATCCGATGGAGATTGAATAAAATGTTGATGTTGTTGTAGAGGGGGCCCACCATTATGATGTGGTGGTACAAATGTTTGCGCCGGATGCATGATCATAGATGCTGCAGATTGTTGTTGTTGTGGTGGTGGTGGTGGTGGTGGTGGTGCATAAATGCCAAAGGGATGGGCGGTTGTTGGCATAGGCATGTGTAGATAAATACCACCCGGACCACCTGAGTTTGGCGGCATGACGGACATTGTTGGCTCATTAGCGTTAAATTCATTGTAAGGGCTATATGGCGTAGTTATAAATGTGTTGCCCTGTGGTGTTTGATAGGTGGAGAGTGGTACCTTCGAAATTATTTAAAATTTTATTTAAAAAAAAAAATTGAAAAAATTCATAAAAAAAATCTTAACAAAAAAATTAAAAAAAGTTTAAAAAGAATTAAAACAAGTTAAAAAAAAAACTTAAAAAAAAAACTCTTAAAAAAATAAAGAAAATTAAAAAAAAAATTTAAATTTTTTTTAAATTAAAAATATATTCAAAAAATTAAAACAAAAAGTTTCAAAAAAATTAAAGTATTTTTAACTTATTAAAACAAATCAAAGTTACAAAATAAAAAATTAAAAAGTTACAAAATAAAAAATAAAACAGTTAAAATATATAAAAAAAGTTTTTAAAAAATAAAAAACAGGTTTAAAAAATAAAAAGAAAAGTTTCAAAAAAAAAAAAAAAAGGTNATAAAAAAAAGTTTCAAAAAAAAAAAAATTAAAAAAAAAAAGTTTGAAAAAATAAAAAATAAAAAAAGATTAAAAAAATAAATAAAAAATTATAAATAAAAATTAAAAAAAAAAATATTGAAAAAATAAAGAATTATATAAAATAAATTTGAAAAAGTAAATATAAATAGAATTGCAAAAAATTAAATAAAAAAATTAAAAAAGTATTGAAAAATATTACATAAAATCATTAAAAAAAATTATTTGGAAAAATTTGTAAAGTAAAGAAGTTAAGAAAAATAATTTTAAATAAAATTAATCAGAAAAATAATTTTAAATAAAAGGATTAACAAAATAATTTGAAAAATGTTTAAACAAAATTATGAATAATAATTATTTGAAAAAAAAAAATAAGTGTGAAAAATGATATTAAAAAAAAACGGAAAAAATTAAAATAAAATAATTGATTAGAGAAAAAATTGGAAAAAAAATTATTACAAAACAATATTAGATGTTGAGTCATTATGAGTCAAAAAAAAAAAAAACTTTTTTAAATATGTACGAGTCTGTGCACTTAAATTATTGTATGAAAAATGAAAATATAGCAGTGACTAAAAAACGGCAATATATTAGAGCTATTATATTTAGGTGCAAAGCTATTAATTCATAAATATATATTTTTTATATTATATTTTAATGATATATCTTTTTCAAAAGATACATACGTTACAAAGCAAAATCTTAAAATTTATCTTCTTTGGTACTCACATATAAAAATGTACATATATAATACTTAACACTCACCGGTTTCAATGCTTTACCACCATTCTGTGTGCCACACTTTCCGTTTGTAGAATTTTCATAATTTCCCTGCGGCGATGGCATGCCGTGCTCCGCAACTGAAACGGCAAGTGAAGCCATCCCAGTATTATCATTTCTCGATTTTGCATTATTAGATGCATGACTATGCGTTGAATTAGGCGTAGCACTGCGATTGGAATTAGTTTGACCACCATTATTATTATTTTTTGTTGAACCGACATATTTATTGCCACCACCATTGTTAGTGCAGTCATTTTGATGCGGTGCAGTTGATGTGCCACTGTTTGCGTTATTGTTGTTGTTACTCGCATTACTTTGATTGCGCAAGAATAATGGACGTTCTTTGTTGCTATTGAAATAACGCGATGGAAAACGGCGATGCATGGAACCAGTTGCACCGCCCTTGCTATTATTACTATTCGAAATGAGATTACTATTCTGCTGATTTTGATTGGATGTAGTTGCAAGTGTTGCAGCTCCTTGTGTGTTGCTGTTACTTTTTAAATTTGCGGTGTCTTGGGTTAAATTGGCATTCAATTCAGACACGGAGTTGTTGTTAGCGTCTGATTTCTGTTAAACGTATACATTTGAAAAATAAATTTTGAATCTAAAAAAATGTACTAATAATATCTTTTGTACCATTTCTTCCTGCTGATTACCTCCATTCACTTGCGAAGCGCCCTTGCCGACATTTGCTTTAGATGAAGCATCTAGAATTGCATAATGCAAATGCAAACAAATCGTTAAAAACATTTCTTTAGCCATAACTCACCTTCATTATTACGCTGTTTCAATTGATTCAGATGATGTTCCAAGCCTAAATTGTAAAAGTGACGCAAAGTGTACACATCGGTTGGTAAGTCATTGCCATTTGCGTCAACCGATTTCTTCGCATCCCAATTAATGAAACCACTTGATGGCGTATTCAAATTAGGTGCTTGTACACTGCCACGATTACGTGTTGTGGGAGTCTCATACGATTGCTGTGCACTAACTTGCAATGGCACTGGTTCAAACCTATTACCTGGTGAAACATTACTACCAAATGGTGCATTAGTTTGATAGTACGGACCGCCGCAGTTTTGTGCTGGATGCGGCGCAGCAGCGGCGGCGATGAGTGGTGGTGGTGGCGGTGGTAATTGTGCGGTAGTAGGCATATACATATTATTTGGCGCAGGCGCAAATGCCGTAGGTGGCGCACCTGTTGGCGGATACATATAATAACCCGTTGGCATGAGTGTTGCAGTTGGTGGTTGCATAGCAGGATCATAACCATATGTGTAGTACTCCTCACCACTATACTGGGGCATTGGATATAAATAATGCATATCGGGTACTATAAATGCAGGTGCACCCATGCCAGCAACTTGTTCCATGGGATTGAAATTACCCATCATTTCTTCCGGTGCGGATGCATGTTGAGGTTGCATGTTCGATTCGGTTTTTATATGTATCTGAGGTAGACTGTTACTTGGTACGACATTAATATTTTCATTCGATGGTGTCATGCTGGCACCACTAACACTTTTCGATTCGTAATCGCGGGGCGTATGCTCAACCGTTAGTGGCATTGCGCAATACTCCACAGTATGTGCTCGAAAATTCTCAAAATGTGTATATTGCTTCAATTTATAGAAGCAACCGTTGCGGTGTTGAGCGGTTGCCGGGCCATAGTGTTGTTTGTCATCTTTATCCAAATCACTGCCTGTGAAACCTGGTACATATTCAGACGACTTAATGCTGGGTGACATGGGTGCGCAATAATCATGTCCAAATTGGCCGTTAAGTTTCAAACGATAATTGTAGTGACGAGTTAAACGTACTGAACTATATTTCTGCATATGACGCTGAAAGCGATATGGTAAGGTCCATGGTTTGAATTGATCTGGTGGTAGAGGTGTTAGTGATTCGTAGGGCACCTAAAGAAACGATAATAAATAGAAAAAAAATGTTTTTTTTTGCTCTAAAAGTGAATAGCATGCACATATTTTAATGACTGAACCAAAAGTTTGGACAATTTCATTAAACAATTTCAATATACAATATTACATATTTCTTGTTTATTTCAACAAATTTTACATCTTACCAAACGCTTTTCGCCTAATTGTTCGATAAAAACAATGCAGTAGCCCTTGTCAACTGCAATCTCTTGTATATGACAAGTGTACAGATCGTTTTCGGATTTGCATAGCCTCACATGACATTTGGCTCCCACCTGGAAGATTTTATGAACTCGTGTTTGCTGGCAGCGTATCAACTTCGTTTTTAATAATTACACAAGCACAAACATAAAATTTGGGTATTGGATAGACAGGACACAGCGAATATTGGAAGAGGACGTGTAAGAATGACAAGCACAAACCGTTCACCGGATATAAATTTTTGTTAGGCACATAGAAGGAACAAACTGTTAGTTCATTCATTATGACAAGCAAACGACATGCATGCGCACTTATAAACTAATTAAATACCTTAAAATTGGTGTCACCGTTGTACCAGTTCTGTAGTTTTTGTTCCTTTCGTTGCTCATTCCAAGCATCAAATTCTATATTACGATACATGTTTGGATCAAGAGCTTTCGCAACCTTATACGGAAATGGTGTAATGCCTAAAATCATATGTTTATAAAAATGCACATACTCGTAGTTCAATCTAATGTGATTAACCATACCTTCTTGCAACAATTGGCGCACACATGATATATACTTGTGTGGTAGCAATGATTCGGCGGTTTTACATAGCGCTGATTTTTCGTAATCGTCACAATTGTTGTGTATTTTCATTTCGCGCTGCAAATCATCGGACAAACGTGGAAAATTCTGATAATGGAAATGGCAAAGTTCGTAATTTTCTAAAATACAATTAGTATCATTTGGTAAATCAAAATCAAAACTGCGTCCATCACTGAGTAAAATGCGTGTACAATAACCGTCTTCGTTACTTTCCGAAGTATACTCCGTAGCTTCTAGGGTTGGCGAATGTAACATGTGTTCAACGGCAAAAGCAACATCCGGCAGCTTATATAAATCCTTGTAGAGAATTTCGTAGCATATTGCTATAGAACAAATTTGACATATTAATACAAAAAAAAAACTCTGAAAACGATTTTCAATATATCAATTAGTACCCTGGCAAATAGCTGCATCTTTTATATAGTCGCATGTAAAAACAGAATCAAAATGCCTTTCGGGTGTATAAAATACTCGAAATACATCATTAAAGTAGGAGCGAGTACTATAGAAATTACCCAAATTGAACGGTTCAAATAGCAGTACGTTACGTCTGAAATTCATAATAAAAACAGTAATATGCAAAGATGTATCAATAAGCAATACTTACTGGAACATATAACCCACAGCCTGCAGTTCGACCAGTGTGCCATAAGTTTTAGGCTTTGACATATCATCTAGATACTCGTCTAAATCTCGTTCAACGAGCTGTTGATAATAATTGTGAATTTATAAACATTATATAGTTTAAGAAATAACGAACGAATGTTTATTAATTTACTCCCAAATATAAATAAGAAAAAATTCAGATTTTTTAATATTACTCAGTGTATAATATATGCTTTGAAAGGATACTTTTACTTATTATGGTACGAAATTTGTGGAGCAAATTACCAAACTCTTACATTCATTAACATACCGGCGCAAAGAAATCTCTGTGTTTACGCATATAACGTACGCATTTTTTGCGTATGGCCAAGTGATGTAACTGCGTATCATACATTTGTTCGGATATTACCCGAAACAGACAGGACGCATCGCGCGCTGTATGTTTGCGATAGAAATTATTTTCTTCCAAGAATTGGTCAAATGGATCAGGCGCTTGGCGGCTCCCAGAGGTAAATTGACGCTGCATGCTTATAACTAGTATGCTCAAAGCTATTGGTAGTTATAACTGAAATTAAAAAAAACACATAACCATTTTTTATTTTCTCTATTATATTAAATATTTATGTAATTGGACGGTTCAAATTCGACTTTCCCAGTGCCGTAACCTTAAATTTAATGTTTATGTATTTATGTGGCTGGATGAAATTTTCTATAAACCGCTATTGTTGTAATGTGTAGAAATACACTATTTGGAAATGCAAGTTTACATATTCAGATATATCTAAGTTCAATGCACGCAACTGTACAATAATTCGCCATCTCTCAATGTATACATAATCGTATGTGTATATCATAATATTCAAGGCCCAATAACAGTTATCATACATATTTACATGTATTTATTGGTACAGTTACTGAATAAGCACAAAATTCACTTGTTCCAACAAAGAGAACATATATTTTTGTCATATTTCTAAATTCACTATATTCCACACACCTTTTTTGATTGTGTTAACGAAAGTTGCAAAAAATTCTAACAACTTTAAAACATTCAGAGTTTAATTCAACGTAGCGCTAAGTGGCAAAAAAAAACACAATAAGAAATTCGCACTACAACTGCTGCATAAAATTTATTGTTTATTAAAATTTAATTTTAAAAATAATTTAAACAACGATATTCGCTTTTCTCACTAATTTGTTAAAAGAAACGATACGCGATTAAAATCACAAGCAGAATGCAAATTGAAAAATAGCGATGATTTAAATTCGAAAAGAGATTATTCAAAAAACGGTACTTCAGTTACAGGGTGGCGTGTGTGAGAAATCAGGAATGCATCCAAGTACCTGTTAGTAAATATAGTGACACACAAAAATAAAATGATAAATAAATTGCTTCTTTGTTTTTTAATTTACAAAAATAACTGTATATATTAATAATAATTATATAGATTAATGAATAATATAATTATAGCTTCAATGAAAACTAATGCATAATTGTACGACAGATAAACTTCAACCAGATGAATATCATTTTTGTGCGGCCAAATGTACGTTCTTTGGCAAGGTTGGGCTTTGTGGGCTTCTCCAACTTCCCTATTCAACCAACCGAGTCAGTTCACATGATAATATTTATAAACGAATGGTTGCTTTAAAATTATTTTCGTTGCTTTTCGTTTACTGTTTCCGATTGAGCACTTACTGTTATTAACATTTTCTGTAATTAGCATTATTTGGTTTGCTGTTAAGAGCGAATGCAAGCTGATATTCAGTTTCATTACATGATTTTAGGCGTACGCTATATGTGTTATGTGAGAAAATCAGCGAATCTATAATTATTATTATAGATTCTCTAGAGAATCTTTACAGTTGCATAGAATGCGTATGAACATGCAATAAAATAAATTTCATAATAATATTTCCGCATTAACTCTTGTACAGGCGTTAAGCTTAAATTAGTTTTAAGATAATTAAAACCCAAAAAAATTAAAGAAAAATTCAAAATGTTACTTAACAGAACAGATAGCAAGAAACCAGCAATAGATAAATATTTATATAAAAATTTCAAAATCGCCGCAATCTATGGCAGTTTCTGCATTGAACAATTGAATTGAATAAATTTTAAACGAAATACCTATTTTACAGCACAATCTCGAGAAAAAGATAATAGTAAAAACATTAACATTATGGAATAGTTTAGCTTGCAAGAAAGCTCACAGAATTAAATAATAAAAAAAAACAATTCTTGAGATTGAAACTTTTGATGCTAATAGATTCGTGCTGGACACAAGTGGAAATGTTTTACCGATGCAGCAATTAAAACGAACTCAATCTTTGTGGGAAGTGGATTGTCAAGCGATTGGCAATGACTTATCTAAGATAAATTTTCGTTTGAACCGAAATCCATTGCTGCAGCTGTGTAATATTCTTGTCTTGTTCATTAGGAGAATATTATGAAATTTTAATAAAAAAAAATTTAGTTATATTAATAACGATATTCAAATATAAGTCTGATCATTTGAACAAATAAAGGAAATACGACTAATTATGGCCAAGAACATTTTGCTTAATACATTTCATAACTGCTACTATATTTCAAACCCGTTATAAGAGTGGAACTCTTTGGGAATGCAATTTGATCATTAAGCTCTCTGGATGAAAATGTACGTAATCATATTGTACCTGGAAATCTTTCGGAACTTCAGCGCTTTCTCCAGCATCGCACGAAACAGCTGTGCATAGAGAAGGTTTGTAAACTTGAACAGCTTCGCTTAAAAAATGGTAAATAGGGCAATAAATCAATTTGACACATATACTTTTCAATATATGAACTTGCGACTATAAACTTCTTTTCCAACTTTTCTTACTGGTAGATTGTATAGTTTATGAGAACGCCAAATCTAAAAACATTGCTCATTTAGTTTGCACTTCCAATTCAAATTTAAATGCATACCCTTTCTAAGGACTTCAAATGCCTACCATTTTCATTAAAATATCGTACTAACATCGTACAGACATCACTTGGAATAAGTAGAATGAAAGTTTTCGTGTAGCTTTCAGCATAAACTATGAACTTTATTTTCGTTAGACAAATTTTATATAACGGAAAAACAAGTTTTCAAGCGAAAACCACATTTTGTTATGCAAGAATGCTTTCGATGTCGCTCTGAACAAGGTATTACCCATTAAATTGCTTTGATCAGCTGTTGTGGTATGTTATTGAAATGATACCTCTAAAATTTATGCTTTGAAAATTCTCTGGAATATTCGAAACAGAATACCACTAACGTTAGATGGCGCTGATAAGCATTCTTTGAATTACCAAATCTCACTACCATCCACCAACAACCAAAAGAAAAACTTAAAAAATTACAAAAAAAAAAAAAGAACAAAAACCAAACACGACTTGGGGAGAGCACGCTGGAATTCCGCTCACATGTGACGAAATACACTAATGCAAATGACATTTAGCGGTACATGCGCAGAGTAAATGACAGAAATGCATGCAAACAAAATGCAAAACATAATTACATACATAAAGGTTAATTGTTATGGTTTAATGGAGGAAAATGTGAATTTTTGTAACTTTTCTTTGTTATTAATAAGTATAAAGAAGTGTTTTTGGGGTGTTATGTAGAAGAGTGCGTAAACACACAAAAAAAACCGAGAACAAAACGCGTGTTTCTCTTGCACATTGCAACAATTGTTTAGTTGCTGATTCGCTGCTTTCGCAATTCGGCGCTTTTGCATTTTCCACACTCTTTTTATTTTTTTTGCCTGCATTTGCCGATATCGTCAGCAGCATATACATACATACATACATACATATGTAATTAAATAATATGTATGTACGTCCATACTTCTGAGCATTTCGTTTGTCTTTGCTGCGTCTGCGTTCCACATACTCGCACATAAGTGTCACAAAGCCGCCACCGTTGTTGGGTGGGTTGGGTAGAGCATAGACAATTCGGCCAGCACGTCGTTGGCTGAGACTATTTGCATATAACAACATTTGGTGGTGGACTTTGTGTTGATTTCCTGCGCTCAACGTTGCTCAGTTAAAAATCTCAAGTCAATGAAGTCTGGAGTAAACTTCAAGTTCGCGCTGTTACCGCGACTAAAGTTGTCTGGAAGAGATGTGAGTTTGAAAGTGTATTCTACATACATACATATTTGCATATGACAACATAGAATTACCAAAAGTTTGTTAAGCTTAGTTCATTTGTTATAATAATTTTAAGTGATAATAATGTTAAGAAAGTTACATTTTCGTTCGTAAATGTTTTTTGAAGTTTCGATGTGTGTTAAAAATTATGCTTATTCATTAATCAAAAAAAAAAAAAAAAATAGAAAATATCCTTTTATGCAGTCATCTGCTCATATGCATACATAGTATATACATATATGTATGTAGTGTGTCAGCACGCGCTGCCCGTAATCAGTTTTGTGCTGCTAATTTCTTCTTGGTTGTGTTAATAATGTTAAATAAATATTTTTGTAAGAAATTATGATAAAATTGCATTTGCTCTTATCTAAGATATTCTTTGCACATACATACATAGTTATGTATATATGTACATACATGGATATGTATTTTGGTAAGTTCAACTGCTTTGTGTTGTTGTATTTGCTGCAAGCAATCGCAAGCTTTTATCGCCAGCAGTGGAAAGTGTTTCTGCAAAAATAAAATAAAATCGAAGTTTGAGTGATAAAGAAAAATCATTATTGATTATGAAATCACTAAGAAAAAAAGGTGGCATAGTTGCTTTCTTTCACATGCATGCATGCATATATAATATATGTACATACAATAACAACCAGCACGTTGCCGTCGAAGTTATGCGCAGCGCATCAACGCTGTTGACGTTTGTTTGTGCAAACAGTGGTTTTAAGACAAATTTATTAATTTCTGCATACCTCTACATACATACATACATATGTACATATAAACATATTATAATTAATATTTCTCAGCCGCTGTTCATTCTTAATTCTTTGTTGCTGCTATCCAATTCGATAAGATGGTCGGGGCTGCGTTATCGTTACATATCACATCGCTTGGCTTTGGGTAAAATCAATATATGTATTTACTATTGTAAAGATGTGCACGTAAAAAATTTGTGCATACGATACAAAAACAAAAAAAAGAAAAAAACAAACGCAGCGGCAGTGACGTCTGCTGCAAGACCGCTATGAACTTCATACAATTGTATATATGTATGCATATATGCATGTATGTATGTGCATTATAATTATATTGCATACGAGTGTGTACTGATAATGTAAAATACCAATGAATCCTTATACCATGGGATTTCGGATCCGTGCAACGCATTTAAACACCCACATCGTTCTGTGATTGCCTACTAATCGCGCTTTATTCGCAAAACGCTACCTTACCTTTGTCTACATATGTACATACATACAAAAGTATATAAAGAACATACTATGTACATATATTGTGAAATTCCAAGTGGTTAAAGTTATAGTATTTTATTAGGGTAAGGCTTTAATTGCCACAGTTAGAATGATCCGATTTACATCAAATATGCGCCGTTTTGTACGATAACTTGTTGCCATTTTAAACATAATTTCATCATACCTCTCTCATAGAAGCCCTCGTTTCTATTGGCAAGAAATTGAAGCAGTTGATTTTCACCAGCCTCACTTGAAGCGATTTTTTCATCAGCAAAATTTGCTCGCCATGAACAGGAACAGATGGTAGTGACTTTGTGCCAGGTCCGGACTATAAGGTGGTTGCATAAGAACCTCCCAACCAAGCTCCCGGTACTTCTGGCTAGTCACTATCGATGTGCGTGGCCTGGCGTTGTCCTGATGGAACACAATTCCTCTCTTGTTGGGTAAAGCTGGCCGCTTTTGGGCGATTGATTGCTTCCAATTGTATATGGTACAGTTCCAAGTTAAGAGTTTTGCGGTGTGGAAACAGCTCGTCGCTGATAATTCCCTGCCAATCACACCAAACACGCAGCAAAACCTTCCTGGTCTTCAATCCTGGCTAGGTCATCGTTTCCACTGGGTCGACCACGACCGTTTTCGCTTAACATTATCATAGGTGATCCACTTTTTATCGCCAGTCAACAAGCGCTTCAGAAATGGGTAGATTTTGTTGCGATTCGCAGATGGAAAATCGATCCAAGAGGTATTTTTGCGGTAACTCGTATGACAGCCATACATTGAGCTTCTTTTCGTAACCAGCCTTACTCAATTGATTCCAAACGGTTTTTGTGCAACTTTTAGCTCTTGGGCAATCGAAACAGTGCTTAAATGACGGTCGGACTCGACAATGTCCATGATTTTGTCGACATTTTTGACAGAAAAGCTTTTTGAGTATAA